TTAAGGTAAGCTAAACCATTCTACTCCTAGAGCCATACCAGATGTACAACAAGAACATAGAAGAATATTCATTAGAGCACTATTCTCAGTAGCAAAAGGCTAGAAACTTGAATGACCATCAGTGGGAGAGTGGAAAAACAAACTTTTCTACAATGGACTATTATACACAGTAAAAATTAATAAACTACAGTGACATACAACAAGGGTGATTCTTATCAAAACAATATTAAGTGGAAAAAGTAGCTCCAAAAAAGTTCCATAGAGCAAGATACCCTTTTATAAAGTTAAAGACAACCAAAATAAAAAACTGATACTCTTTAGAAACACATGTATGTGCAATACAACTATAAAAAGAATATGGAAACAGAGAAAACGGGTAGGGGTTTGCATAAAACAAGATTGGGCATGCTTTGAACAGTTAAAATCTGGACCCCAGGGACATGTGGATTCACTATACTCATCTCTCCAGCTTTGCATGTATTTGAAATTTTCCATTGTAGAAACAAATTTTAAAATAATGTAAAGAGCAAAGAATGATGAACACAGGATTCAGAAGGCAGGGTGATAGGATGGGAGGGAACTCCATGATGAATGTCAGTTATTGCCAAGGGACTGGCTTAGTGAGTTCATGGGCACTTATTGCACAACTAACTACACAGCTAAATTTTAAAAAGCCATGGAGTAATGAAGAAATAATTAGAGAAGCAGAGAGAAAAAAAGCATGAAGTCAGCTTTGTACACAGTTCTCAGTGACACTAGGTAGATGGATCCCAGGATGCATCCTTCTGGTGCTTTGTTTGCAAAAAGAGAGCTTAGAACTCTTGGAAACTAGGATGCTAGTTATCCTGCCCTTCTCAGACCCATCTCCCTCTCAGAGGCCACATCTCTCACCTGCATGCCTGACAAAGGCCTGGGCAAAGGCATCCTAGGCCTTCCAAGATCCTGATAAGAGTTGGTCTGATGTTTGAAATGTCACATGAGTGGTCTGCTCCTACTGATGGACTTTCGGACTAAAATGTGGGGATTAACAGTCATCCCCCACACATGTTGTCATTCAGGGACCCTGACACATTTACCCTGCAGCTGAAAGAAGGCATCAGGTGTCAGAAGAACTACTGAGAGAGTAGGCTAACAGGCCTCCTAGGAAGGGGAAGGGTCTTCCTTTGAGAAAAAAAAAATTAACTAAGAAACAGGGACCCCTTTGTTGCACTGTGCGTGTGTTCAGTGATCCTTCAGGTTCTTTCAGTGATGCTTAAAATTCCACTGAGCCCAGAAATGGTTCTGTCTCCTTTGCAACTTTAATGAGCCCTCAGGAGACAAAAACTATTACTCCCTTTCTCCCCATGCCCCAGCTCTTCCAGATCTTTTCAAATTGTGGTTCCCAAGACAGACCCCAGACTGGAAGCTTCAGGATCCCTGGAAACTTTAGAAATGCAAATACCGCTGACTTACTGAATTATAAACTTGGAGGGTGGCACCCAACATATGTTTTAACATGCCCTTCAGGGGACTCTGATGCCTGCTCAAGTTTGAGAACCACTAGTTGAAGTACATTTATCCCACCTCAGGACTCCTTATGGCTTCACCACCTTTCCTGACAATATTCCACAGGTCATCGCTTCCATGACCTACTGTTGCCTATTTGCCCTAAGAAACCCCAACAGGGGCCATTCCAATTCTCTCCATACTCCAACTCTTCCAGATCTTTTAAATTATGGTCCCCAGGACAGATCCCATACTGGCAGCTTCTTGGCTCTGATTCTGGAACTGCCAGGAGCTGCTGCAGCAAACTCCTTGGGAAAAGGATGCCTCGGAGCTCCTTGTGTCCAGCTTCAGCAATAGGCTGTCCACACGCCCATCCTGCCTGACCTCTCCTGTATCTGTCCCAGACTGCTCCCTCTCCCATTCCTCTTAGCTGTGGTCCTATTGTCACCTCTCTCAACAAGCCCATGCCCTGCCTTCGCCCCTGACATTTTAGCAGGTAGCTTTCTACATCATTGGGGGAAAAAAAATTAAAAAGAAAAAAAGACTACCAGGCAAGAACTCTTCCAATTTTTCTTCCACCTGCAAATTTATTTGCATCTTTCCTCCTCCTTTCCGAATCAGTGCCAGAGTCTACCTGAGGCTTGTCTCAGGCTCATCACTTCCAGCTAGGTTCTGGGTCACCTTCCACCTCACCAGGGACCTCAGACCCCCCAGCATTCCTGTCCCATGCAGCTCCCTGCCTGTGTCCTCTTCCCATACTGAAAGACAAACAGTAACTATATGACAACATTTTCAAACAAAAGTGTTTAAAAAATATGTTGAGCATCTGTAGTCTCTAAAGCAGTGCAGACTTGGTTTTGAACTCCAGCTCTCCAATTACTATCAAGGAGGCATTGGCCAAATTCTTTACTGTTTCTAAACGTCAGGTTTTTCCTCTGTAAAAAGGGCTATTGTAACATTTTTTATATAATCATTAAGAAAAGGAATAAATATTATCCATGTAAAGCCTATTGCAGCAATAAGAGCTTGACATATTGGATAAAAATATTTATTGTTTGATCCATATATTCAATATTTTGATTTAAACATTTATATAATCTGAATGATCTTCAAGTTCCATTAGGCATTTTATACTTCAAATTCTTAAAACATGAGTGGAAACTGAAGTGAATGTTCACAGAGAAATCACGATGAGCATTCTTTAATTTCAGGTTTGATGGTCAGAAAAGTCCAATGATTCCCAGGTTGCAAAAATTGCTTAAAAGAGAATGACTGAAAGGATAAATTCCATTGTTACCTCTTAATAAAATGATCTATCTCCCATGTAAAAAACAAACAACAACAGTGCAAATCAGCAGTCCTGTTCACAACCAAGTGTCTTGAAAGAACAAGCTACATTAACTCTTTCAACTGTCTTACCTCCCTCCCATTTGCTCCTTAACTCCCTGCAAACTGATTTCCTGAAGATCATCAGTAGCTTGCATGTCAACAAATCCAACCAGCATTTTGGTGCTCTAGTTATTCAGTCCTTTTCCTTGAGCTCCTGCCATGTACTAGGTTTCTGGCACGAAGCTAACACATTGGAGGTGGGCATGTGTTTTCTCATTCAACAAGTGTTTTTTGAGTTCTTCCAATGTGCCAGGCACTGTGCTTTATAGGCCCTTGTAGACAACCTGCTCTTGAGATGCTTATAGGCCATGTCTGGCACAGGCAGTGAAACTTGGAGAACACACCAGATGGAAAACTAACTTTAGCCAGTGGGAGGTAAGGGAATCTCAGAAGCTATCCCTGAGGAGGTCACACCTGAGTTTAGTCTAAAGGACAAGGAGGGATTGATCAATGAGGGGATGAAGAAGGATGCTCCAGGGAGAACAACATACACCAATGAACAGCTGAGATCTAGTACAAGCTATTCTATCATATTCAGAGGGTATTATAGTCACATGGAGGAAAGCATAGGAGGCATTCTTGGAAGGCTTTCTGAGGGAGGGAGCACCTAAATGGAGTCTTACAGGATGACTAGGCATCTGTTAAGGGGTGAAGGACATCCCAGGAAGATAATGCATTATATGCAAAGGCACAAAGTATGACATCTTGGGAGAGGTGTAAATAACACAAAATGATGAGTGAAGTGTTGGACATGAGGACAGTGTAGCAGCTAGGGACATCAATGCCATGTAAAGTAGTTTGGACTAAAAGTGATAGGAATCACTGAAAAAGAGAGAGAGTGTGTGTGTGTGTGTGTGTGTGTTCCCTTTTTAGAGTGATCATTCTAATTACTACATGGAAGATGCTTTAGAAGGGGCAAGACTGGAGGTGGGAAGACAAGTTAGAAAGAAGGCTATTGTAACACAATGATTGGGGTGAAAATGACAGCTCTTCAACAAGGCAGTGGCTGTAGGATATAATATTTAAACAGTAGGATCAATGATATAAAGTAATATTAACAACACAGGACATCAAGTCAGATGGACATAAGCGTAAATCCTGGCTCCACCCCTTACTATCTGCGACTTTGAGCAAGTCGCCTGACTTCTCTAAGATCCCATTTCCTCACCTGTGAAATCAAGACAATCATAAAACCAACCTCACAGTTGCTGAATGAATGAAACAGCACAATATACGCAGAGGACATAGCCCGAGACCAAGCACATGGTGAATATGCACAAATGAGAGCTCCAGTCCTTAGCATCAATGGGACTTGTCTGACCAGCTGCAAATACGAAAAGAGAGCAGAGCGTACAATTACCCTGGTGTTTCTGGCCTGATGTTGTGAAGGAAAGCAGAGGCAGGCTGGGAACGAGGTGCTCATCTGTTGAGTATACAGTGCCTACTGTTGGAAGACAATTCTCCTCAGGGCTCTTTCACTTCTTCACATCTTGCTGTGTGTGCCAAGAATGCAAGACCCTGACCCTTATTACCTGGCCACTTTTCAGGGTTGTGTGAGCAACGAGATACTGGCTCCCTCTAGGCTCACTCGCTGCTTCCTATAGAAGCAGTAGGTTCCCAAGCTTGGTGTCCCACAAATGTGATACAAACCCGCTGCATGTGGAGCATCCATCTGGGCCCATCATGCTGCCCCTGTGGGACTCAAGAAGTAAAGGGAATTGATGCAAATATGCTGATGCTCATGTTGTATGCTGTGTCTTCCTAAGTACTAAAGCCCTATGTTTCTGACCTAGGAGTCTCATGTGTTCTGCCAGTATCCATGAGTCAGTGACAGGTTAAATTATTAGCTTATAAGTTGGAAAAAGAGGCTTGGAGTCATCAGTGTGTATGTGGTAGGCAAAGCCATAAATATAAATAACACTGCTTTGGAAGAGGTCTAGGGCCACACCCCGGGTAACACTAACAAATAAAGGATGGGGATAAGATATGGAGCTCCAAGAGGACCCCAAGAAGGAAACCTGGAGGACAGTAGTTCCCTACAAGCCAAGGGAGTAGAGTTTGAATCAAAACAGAGTAGGCAACAGGATCAGATGCCGCTTAAAAGTCAACTAAGATGAAAACTAAAAATGGCCACTAAATTCAGCAACTACGTCACCGGCAAGAGACATTTCAATAACGTGGTGGGGCCAGAAGACAAACTGAAGTGGGTGAGGAATGAATGGAGGTAAAGAAGTTGTGACCACAATATTTCCAAAAAGCTTAGCTGAAAAGGAGAGAGGTGGAACATTGGTGACTGGAAGGGATGGAGGCAAATGAGTTTTCCAAATAGATGGAAGAGGCTGAGGAGAAGCCAGAAGAGAGAAAAGTTGCGGGGCGGGGGCGGGGGGGAGGGCGAGATTAAGAGCAAGGAAAAGAGGATGGAATCAGGGATGACATTCAGATCCTAGGTGAGGGACTAAGATGTCATTTGTCCCAATCACACACCCTCAAGCAGGGAAACTTGCTAATTCAAGCTGTGGGTAGAACTCACTGTCCCTAAGGAGGGTCTTGGTCAGCAGGTTTTCCAGGTGGTCACTTTGCCTGCTGGTCTTGCAGGCCAGAGATGAGAGGCACTGAAGTGTTTTCCAGCCTAGGTTCTCTGGAGATGCGAACTGGTATGTTCTACACACAAAGGGGAAGTCTGTGAGGCCAGCTGGCAGGAAGACTGAGAGTTCTCTGCCAGCAGAGTTGGGCATTTATTTGGAAGTGGGCCATCCAAAGGGAAGAGACCCTGCTGGGGAAGACACAAGCCTCATCCTCCAGGTACTTGGGGTTGACGGAGAAAACACCTATGGAAAGATGATTACTCAGAGTAGAAAATGGAACTGGTCTCAGCAGAACACCTGTACTCTGCTTGGAGTTTTTGCAATGTCCTTATCCCAACATAACAGGGAAAGAAGCTAAGATTTGCCTGACGCTTAATGGTCAGCATATGGTGGGTTCCAGCTCTCTCTGATTTGTTAGCTGGCTCTCCTGCTCCTAAAGCCCACATTGTCCTTTCCCAAAACACAGCACCCAGCACCTCGGTCAGAGGCAACCACACTGAACTGCTGCCCTTCCTGCAGCCCTGTAGCTGAGACCAGGGAAGCCAGCACAGCCAACAGAGTGGCCTGCGGTTTGTGATAGGGAAGGCCTCCCCCAGGTGCCTTAGCCTTCTTTCTGGCAGGGCCCTGGTTAGCTTTCCAAGGCCCATGAGACCCCAAGGGTCTGGTCCATTATGGGCTAAACCAGGGAGGGAGGGGGGCCAGAAGGGGCATGCAGTTGGGCCTACTTGCAGTCTTGCCTCTGCTTTTTTGTACAGGGATTACCCCCAGGCACCTTCTCCAGAGATGTGAGACTGAGAACAAAAGACAGCAGTTCTTTACACCATGATGGTCTAGACTCTTTGAGAGACTGAAGGAAGCAACAAATGAGCTCCCTCCATAAAAGGACACACACACAACACACAACCTTGCATATTTACAGGTCCACTTACCAACCACCACCACCACTCCCAACCCCCGACTGGCCAGGTGTCAAAGAAGTATACAGCAGAATCAGGCTGGCTAAAAATGCACGTCCCCAGGCGCCACGCCGGAGATTCTCATTCAGTGCGTCTGGGCCCAGGCCCAGAGATCTGCGTGTTTAATCAGGACGTTAGACAATTTGGCGCTGATGCTCAGCGGAGCCCACTTCGAAAAATCCGACTCTGGAGCTGAGAGATCTCCCCATGCTCCAAAGTTTCTCCATCTCGCCGGGGGCCGCCTCCCTGCACCTCTCGCGGGCCTCACCCTCGCGCGCGGTCGTGGAAGCTTCTGGGGAACCTGGTGGGCACCGAGAACGAGGGCCCCTGGGGCTTGCCCGTCCCCACGCCCCCACGCCACGGCCTTGGGAGGCGCAGACGCTCGGAGAGGGCGGCCGGGAGCAGAGGAGCGGGAAGCAGAAGGGAGGGGAGGGAATAGGCAGGGAAAGAAGAAGAGA